GTTTGTTTTGAGCATTCAAACTTCCGTTTTCTGTCGATCTTTCATTAATATAAGGCCACTTTTACACCAAAATGGCATGTCACACTTGGCAGGTGACAAGTGGCAAGCGTCACATGGCACGGTGATTTCAAACCGAGGTTGCCCATGGTGGCTGTCACTCCGTTTACAAGATGGCATCATTGAAGGTTAAACATGTTATTGTTTTTCTAGGTCCTAATCAATCTTATCTGTCACTTGGAGGAATAAAGTGGAGGAGTTTGGGGAAGAATGTGAGGCAAACCTGTTACAGTACCCTGAAAATAATTATAAGGAATTTTTCTTCTCACAAACAAATTATTTGATAATTCTACCATGAAGAGTATTGTTATTATAGAGAGGTGATGGTGTATTATATAAAAAAAAAAAACATTTGCATTTCCCCACAGTTTGTATAAATGTTATGTTGACTGGTTTATTGTTTGGAAGAGGTATAGTTGTGCATGAGAGCAGGCACACATCGGACTGTTTTCTGCTACATAACTAGGTGTGATTACCCTCTCATCCAAAGCCTCGCTCGCTGGGCACCCTAAACAGTGTTGGCAAAAATGTGTTTGGCGGAAATCTATCTAGATACTTCAGAACTGCTCTATGTATGCCATACGTTCAAAAGTTTTGCTTTATAATCATATATTATTTGATTTTAATATTTTCATATCATCTTGGTTAATAAGAACTTTGGATGTAAAAATTCCATTATAATTTGAGAGCACCAGTGGCGTGGTGGCCGGGGGGGGGGGGAGCACGTGCGAAGGAAAAGCAGGGGGCGCCGAAGGTGTCTCAACTCTCCAAGAGGGCACCAAAAGCTCACTGAAAGCAAATATGTACAAAAAATCTACAGCGCTCCGAAAAGGCGCCTACAGTCCAATCTGTTATGAGCCTTACCATTGCCTAATCAAATACATTTGTACCAAGGGCGCAGTTCTCAAAGGGGCGCCCAAAAAGACTAGTGCCCCCCCAGCCAAATAGGAGCCACCACGCCACTGGAGAGCACACTTTGAGGTGGTAGGTCGCATTCGACCTACAATAATAGACAAGTCGGATCTCGGCACGCAGATCGTAACTGGTACATACATTAGTGTCACACCACTTCTGTGTGAAAGGTTTCATATATTTCCGGATGTTCGTTTTTAAATGGCGTGCCATGTGGCAAGTGATGAGTGACATGTGGTATAGTGATTTCAGACCAAGATTGTACGGGGCGCGTGTAAGGCTATTTTCATTCGGTTCACAAAGTAATCTTGTGACAGTCATCTATCTGTCACTTGGAGGAATAAAGTGGAAGATTTAGGGGGCAGAATGTGAGGCATGGAGAGGTGAAACTGTAGCATGCAAACATTTGTATTTCACCACAGCTTGTGCAAATGTTATTTTGATTGGTTAATTGTCTTGAAAAGGCATAGTTGTGCACGAGATTAGGCACACATTGCATTGTTTCTTTCTGCAAGACCGCACGTAATTACTCTCTCCAATGCCTCGCTCATTGGGCGCCCGAAACTGTGATGTCAAATGTGTTTGGCGGAAATTTGTGTAGACACTTCAACACTACAGTATGTAGCCCATACATCCAAAATGTTTCCTTTTTTATAATACAATATTTGTTTTTAACATTCCTATTTTATCTTGAATAATAATGACATTGGATGTAAAACCTCCATTAAAATCTGACAACACTGGCCAATGTGGCAGATCGCAATCGTAAAGATAACGTCAAATCATGGCGTCGCACGTAGGTCTCACGTAGTCATTGCGACATGCCACGCCACTTGTGTTAATTAAAAGTCGCATATACTTTCAGATGTTCATTTAAATGGTGGGACTCGTGGCACGATACTAGAAAATGAACATACAGAATCATATGAAACCTTTCACACTGAAGTGGCGTGCCACGTTGCATTTGCCACATGCGGCATTCATGCCACGCCAATTTTTGATTTTTGATTTTTTTTAGAGCGCGACCTTCTGCTTTGGGCAGTGGAATATATAGAATACCTAGAGTAGTTTTGAAGTGCCTAGAAATATTCCGCCAAACAAATTTGACAACACAACTTTGCTCGCCCAGTGAGCGAGGCTTTGGTTGAGAGGGTAACCAGGTCTTGCAGGAGGAAACAATGCAATGTGTGCCATAACTATGCCTCTTCAAGACAATGAATTAATGAACAAAACATGTGTACAAATTATGTGGAAATTATCAAAATATTTTCAGGGTATTGGAACAAGTTTGCCTCACATTCTGGCCTCACATTCTGGCGAAAGTCATCCACTTTATTCTTCCATGTGACAGATTATTATCACAAGCTTAATTAGGACCTAGGGCAACCATAATATGCTCAACCTTTAATGATGTCATCATGTAAACCAAGTGGTCTGAAATCACTGTACCACGTCATTTGCCTCTTGTCACCTGCCATTCACCATGTACAATGTGCCACTTTGGTGTAAAAATTGCAATATTGTTCGTAAA